TGACCCCTAGAGTCAAGGTATGCATTCACTTTGAGAACTTCATCTTTGTTTCCAAAAGCATTGAGTCAGTGGGGCTGTAGTCATTAAGCGATAAGGCTAGGATAAATCTGGGTGTCGTCTGCATAGCTGTGATAGGAAGTTTGGTTATTTCTCATTATTTAGCTCAGTGGGAACATATACAGTGTGAAATAATATGTGTGAAATATCAGTCAAATATCCAAAACTTTGTTCCCCCAAAACAACAAAGTAAAGTTTACAAAAACACCCTTTATTAGACTGAACTGAATTAGGCTAGACATTAGTTAACTAAGACTAAAACTGAAACCATTAAACATTTTTGTTACTTGAAATAAAATGTGTTAAATGAAATAAAATATAAAATATAAAAACGTAAAACTTATTTCAGCTAGTTACCAATTCAACATTTCTCATTTTCATTTCATAATTTAGTTTAAGTTGATGTTGTATGACAACTAAACTAAAACTGAAAAAATCCCTGAAATATCTCAAAATGTTGGTGAATTTCTGATGTATAAAACCATGTACACGCATGAAATACACAGTTAGACAATCACTTAGACATCACTTAATATTTTGAAAGACAGTATATTTTGATAAGCCATTTTTTTCTCGTATCATCTAGAGGACGAGCCTTCGGTCTGAGGTTGCTGTTTTGCTCCTTGAGCCCTAAATGTAGAATCAGACCAATGTTTTAAAAGTGGTAAAGCTTCTCTTCCTGAAGAATTGAGATGAGTTTAGCTTTCACAGCATCATCGTGTTTACGTATAATGTCACAGATCGTTCTCATGCCGTCCTGATTGGTTAAACTCTGTCTGATTTCTGAATATTGTTCCTCATGAATTATTTCATGCTGACGCAGTTTATCTGCAATAATCCTAAAATCTGTGACCTTCTGAATGAGATCTGACCAGTGTTTATCAAAATATCTTGCTTTATCTGCCTCACTATTCAGACGTGACTCGTCTCTCTGTGGACGTGACTCGTCTCTCTGTGGACGTGACTCCTCTCTCTGTGGACGTGACTCGTCTCTCTGTGGATGTGACTCCTCTCTCTGTGGACGTGACTCGTCTCTCTGTGGACGTGACTCCTCTCTCTGTCGATGAATCTGATCAAGTTCCTCTTTCTCAAGTGTTGCAGTCCAGACAATCTTCTTGTCCTCCTCTCTGATCAGACTCATATGAAAATCGTTCTCCAGACGTGTCTTGATCCTGATTTTGAAGAAGTTTGGGTCAGTTTCTCTTCTGAGTGTGATCCCTTCTTTGGGATGGCAGAAGCACCAGGAACATCAAGACTGTGTGGAGTTTTCATCCGAAACGGTCTGTCAGGTCTGGGATGCAAGATCCAATAACTCGATCAATCTTCTCAACTTTTTCTTTTGCACAATCATCAACTGGAAAAAAGTAGACATGTAGAGTGAGAGGATCTTTAGAGCGCATGTAGAGAAGAAGATCGCAGTGTTCGTACCATATCATTATCCAACTTATAATTAATGTTTTAAGAGAGAAGGATGGTTGGACAATCTTAGCATGAAATCGTGTCAACTTCACTGGTTCTATGGTTATTCCCTCATCTTTTACACTGAGGACTTTCACAGCATCTCTGAGGGAAGCTCCAGACTCTCCTAAACAGATGTAATGTGGCAGATGAACTTCCTCCAGTTTCCCTGAGATCACCGTCACGTCCATCACTGGAGCGATCCGGTTGCACTGCAGCCTCTCCAGCTCTTTGTTGAGGAAGTGTCCGTCTACCGTGTGATACTGAAGGGTGACGTCATAATCATTGACCCATCGCATCCTGGTCCTGACACACTCGTAACGGCCTGGCGGAGTACTGATCCTGAACTTTGACACTCCTTCATCTGTACAGACCGGTCTCTCAATCTGAACCCACTGATCTGAATCAGCTACATGGACGCAAGACTGACACTTCAGCAGCGGTTCAATATT